TAACTTTTGATATTTGATTAAAAATAAAACAGAAAAAAATGTAATCTACTTTTATAAAAATAAATACCATATTTTTATATATTAAGTTATAAAACTAAAAGCAGTCAGTGGTTAATTAAAGCTTAAGTCATTTTTGACTGAAAATATTTATATTGGTATTAAAAAAAAAATAATTATTTTAAACATTCGTAAAATATCGAAGAAATTTCGGGGAGGTCCAGACACCCTGAACACCCTTCAGATATGGCCTTGCTCGATTTACTCGATTAGTTTAACCCGGACTACGATTCCGGTTCCAATTCGGTCTCTAGAAAAAAAATTAATCATTTCCGGTTTTTTAAAAAACTAAAATTTTGTTTTCTTTTCGGTTCTTAAAAAATGAAAAATTGTTTTCAAGTATTGGTATTACACTTATGTAAGGAAAATGTTGTTCTGTTTCGATTTTTTAAAAATGTAATAAAATATTAGCAGTTAATTAGCGCCGATTATTGCAGTGATTGCCAATTTTTAACAAGATATTCTATTTCCATTAGTTTATTACTAAGGAGAGAACTAAATAAGTAAACGATTCACTCGTAATTGTCTCTTAATGCAACCTCTGTTTCGAATAACCTTTTTTATTATTATAGTTCATACAGTGATTGTTATATATCATTTTAAAGTTACCACTTGTTAGGTATATCAGTGTTCAGTATTCGGACGTTTAAAATTTACACCAATCTTTTTTTATTTTTTTATTACCGCACGCTATATTTGTTTAAGGATAGATTACGTTCAGAGGTTTCAGTAGATACTGCTAAAGAATATCTATTCAACTTTTACAGGATATTTTACTGATCATTTTATCTCATAGATTAAAAGAATTTTAGAATACTCGATAACAGTGCTAACAGTTAAAGATCTTTTAATATTTATTCAAAATTCATTCATAAAATCAATAAAATATAAAAAAATTCAAAATTAACAAATGATAAACTATTATTTTAATAAAATTATTTATTATACGAACGTATTTTCTATGTGTTAGGATAACCCGTAATAACGTGTAATAGGAAATAGCTATGTAGACACTATGTAGACGGTAACAAGGAACGGCACTAACAACGATATAATTGTGTTAACCGCTCAGGCGTACATCAGATAGTCACGATAATAACATGCCTAGTTTTTTATATACATATTTTCAGAAATTCTCGTTATTGTATTAACTAGAAGACCAATAGGTATAATACTGCGCAATAAATAAAATTACTTTTACATTTTTTGTAATTCCTATTACACTATTATCAGTTGTTACGTAGAAATATTTTATACTCGGACGTATTATAAATCCTAATAGTATTAATAAGAAGAGATCTACGCATTCGTTTATTTCTTATTATTAACTAATGACATGTATAAATGAAAATAATGGAATTATAGAAAAATCGAAACCAACCGTAAAAAACGTTTACAAAAAACTGTGGGTTCCGGTTTTTAAATAAATTCAAACTATGGTTCTGACGAGGTTCCGGTTTTAAAAATTAATTTGAATTATGATTTCATTGTGGTCTCGTTTCCCAATATTCAAAGGATTCCGGTTCCAATACCGGTTCTTTTCCTTACGATTCCATTCCCTGGATGTAAGTTTACATTTCAATACACTATTAAATGCGTTGCTTTATGTACACTTATATCGTATTCAGGATGGAATTCAAACGTTAAAGTTCGATTTCAATTCAAGCCAATTTATTAATAAATGAAAAAATAAATAACAATTTTTGCAAAATAATAACAGTTATACGGTTGTTGGATAATGTTATGGTAAAAAACAAAATAATATTTAAATTATGTTCACTTTTCAAGGGTAAAATATATTTTTTTTTGTGATGGTCAGAAAAATAATATCTATATGATAGAAGTTGAAATTTATAAAATTCGCTGTTTAATTGTTTATTAAGATCAATATTTTAAATAAGCGAAACGTAATGGCACGAGACATAAAAAAAATAAAAACATTAAGTGCACTATTCCACTCATCGATGCTTTAAATAATTTTAGATGTCAACTCTTCGTTTGATATTCGATTTAGTTTAGTTAGAAATTCTTAAATTTACAGTTGTTACATAAGGAACTTAGAGCCGACTTATTATAAAGAATAAAAATAAAAAATAAATGTTGAAGGGTCTTATTTTTAGTTTTGGTTGGTAATTAGATTATAATGATGTTATCGTATATATATTATATAGAAAATATAAATAGCTTAAAGTTTTTAAAGTACATAAACAGCAAATTATAAATCAGTAAAAACAATGCATGCAATACCAAAAAGTTCAAATTAATTAATTCACAAAATGCTTGAATAAATATTTAGTATAAAGCATTTGGAAATTAATATAATTTTTAAATCAAATTAAATAACTATAAAAACAAAGATTGACGTAAGCTACACAATTTTAATTTATTATTTTTTGGAAACATTCCAACAACAACAAAACCTAAGACGAATTGATGCAACCTATAAAAGGATCTTCTAATAAGCTGCTATTGGGAAACGTTAATTTTTTTTATAACGTATTTGTACAATATTTTCAAGTAAATAGACGCTTCATTTTTGCACAGTATATATATATAAGAAAAATAAACATTTTAAGATGATAGTAAAAAAATTTACGCAAATACCTACGTTAAGTGATTCGGTAATGCAATCTTGAATTTTATACTGTAATTCAATACACGAGTAGTCAAATGTATAGAATATTAATCGTAAAAACGAGCGTTAAAACTGAAAAAAAAACGTTCCGTACGCGTTTTATGACTAAGAAATAGTTTCAACCACGTGTATGTGTACTGTGTATCTAGTACAATATGTTACTATTTTTCGGTTCAGTTTGTGGAAATCGAATAAAATCCTTCACTGGCCCACCAATACGATTAGCCCTAAGCCTATAGCATAAGTGCAGTCGTCTAATGTAAATAATTTTGATTTTTTCGAACAAACGCACGTATTAGTATTATTATGTTTTTTAATCGATCAAGATTTCTGTATTGGAACTACGCAACATGCTATAGACCACCACCGAATCAAAAATAAATCATTTTTATGAACAACAAACTATTTAATTTAATTAAACACAAATATGTTTATCCATATTTAATACAAATCAACGCTCTTAAATGCCCAACGTTGATGTCCATCGTTATTTTATTGTGATGCGAAGTATTTACGTTTTTGTTATTCGTAAAATGTATTTAATTTTGGATACGATGTTTCACATCTGAACCAATGATCTACAGATAAGATTTAAGTTGTATAATTGTATGAGAAATCTTAATTACGCATGTAATTTTTTATTTTATACATTGTAAACAATTAGTCACCGCGATTAAAAGGGAAGGTGATAACGTTAATTGGGAAATTAATTAATACACAAAATATTTAAACGGCAATGAAGACTGTATGAAATCAATAAATTAAAAAAAATAGAGATATGAACAGTAAATGATGAATATAAATTAATTTGTTATCTGTTTGTTTTATTTGTATTTATTAAAAGTATATAGAAAGGAGAGTTAATTATATTATTACAAAAAGCCCGTCAATATGTGATGATAATAATTACAATAATTTTTATTTCTGCCCAGCGAATGTTACAATCGACACAAATGCATTTTATTTTGGTTTGGTTCACCACTGTTGATAATCTTTTATTAGTGACACAGAAGAAATTACTAATCGTAAACCAAACGTATTATTGTAACTCCGTTTTTTTTTTAAATTATTATTATTAATAAAATAAGAACATTTAAAAATCCATACAATCATTACTACAATAAGTAGATTTGATAATTTGGCAAAGTACATGGCGTGAATAACATGATGAAGAAATCAACCATTGGCATATCATCTTTTAATTAAAACATTATGTGGTAAGTCTCCACACAATTCGTGTTTCGATCTACGTGGTGGGTTTTATGGTAGTATGAAAGTTGACATACGAATAAATAAATAGATTATGAAAACGTTTATCGAATATGTGTGCTAATTCGGTTGATGTTTTTATACAGAGGCCCTTGCATAAGGTAAGGTTTTATAAAAACCAAAAAACGTGCGATAGTTGTCTTAATGAAATCGATTGGAATAGATAAATTGGTCTGATATTAAAATGTTATGTTGGACTTTAGAATTGCAATAACATACGATTAAACGGTTGTATAAATAAGGAGTTTGTTACGAAATGATATTTTAGAACTCGGAAAAGGTCGAAGGATACGTGATCTTGTATTGGCCGATTTGAATTTTTCCTTAACGTGAGGGTCACGTGTTAAACGTTTATCCAGCAGTCTTATTAACGGTATATAATGGACGTTAAGAGCGCTGACAAAGTCAATATTTGAATTAGACCGATGTGTTAACGGACATTATTTTAAAATTGGTGTACTCGAATACAACTCGAACATGGTTTACGGTTTCCCGTCTCGAAAACCGACGACGAATATGGAATTGCCCAAAACACTAAGTAAACATTTCGCGTCACGATCACGAGTAGATCGCTCGTACAATAACGTTTATTGAAGCCGCCGTCAACGCCGAAACGCTGCGAAACGGTTGGGGTTTTTCTTCGCGGGGTGCATCCTAAAAATATCGTTTAACCTAACTGCCCCCTAGCCGGCCACCGCAAACGGAGAAAGAGCCCGTCCGGTGACGGTTCACCGCGTAGGCGAAACCGTTAACGTTACGACGTAACGACGCAATAATCGTTCTGCGCTCGGTGCGTTCGAATATTATTGGTGTCGCGGACGACAGTCCAACCCGGATAAACCGACGACGACGATGATCGCGATAAACGGTTTACAATGATACCGCGTGGCCCGTGCGTGCGGCGCAGACGTACACGACGCGGACAAGCCGTGTGGACGGTCCGCCGTCGGGGGTGGGGGGGGGGGGGGAGGGGAGAGAAGACGAATATAATTATTATGTAAACAGATTACGCGCGCGCGCGGGTTTAAAACCGAATCGTCTGACTGTTGCGGCGTTCAGTCGACCGATTGTCAGCGGACGAGTAACAGCGACAGCATACGAAGCCAACGAACTTCCGATACCATCGTTGCGCGTTCTTCGTCTTATATTCCGCCAACGCACCGATCGGATGGTCCGACGCACCCACCTGAAGGTACCGATGAAACGCGACGTCGCCCGGCACACTGGTTGCACGTAGAAGAAACACATAAGCAATCGGGAGCAGTACACGGTTACGATCGTCTGCGCGCAACATGCCGGACTTCGACTGCGGCGGAGAGTGAGTATACGCGCGGCGCGTTTGCCGCGGGACATCGCGAAACGTTTCCCCGTGCTCGGCGTACCAATAACGCCCGGATCCCTGTCCTGCAGGTACGTGTCGGTGCGCAACTGCGCGGGCCATTTCCAGCGGGTTTCCGGGTCGCAGCCGGCCAGGAAGTTGAGCGTCGTGTCGTTGCTGCCCAACAAGGTGAGAACCGTCGCGCCGCCCCGCGCGCGCGATTAGTTGCACCGCGACGCAGCGGATACCGTTCCCAATGACAACGTCCGGGAGTTAGTTTTGCGTTTTTGACGTTTTTTCCAAAAAAAAATTTTGCTATCGATGCTACTGTTATTTTCTTAATTTTTTTTGTTTTTTTTTTTAGAGCATTTTTAGTTCCAAACTCGAAGTTGAAATTCAATATTTAGAATTTTACCCGCTCGTGTTTTTCTTATACAAATATAACAATACTCTTACAATTTGATCGGACCGTAGTGATGTTAAAACATAATGAATCGTTTATTTAAATCGTGTTCTTACCATAATTATTAAAAAAAATTTAGTGCATTTTTTTTCTTTAGCGAAGGACTTGGAATTTTTTAGGGGAAAAGAGTATTTTTTTTAGGGTATTGCAAAACACAAGAAACCCAGCCCTAGTAATATAAGTATGATCTTGTCAATGTACTATTTAGAGGTTTTATCAGTGCACTGGTTGATGTATAATAAAACAACAATCGTAGCAATGTATTCTCGTGGTTTTCAACTTTTATTTTCATTTTCTTCCTACTCCGGTGCATATTTTTCATATTATATTGTCGTCACCATTCTGCGGGGGTTCGGTGACGTTACACTGCATTATAACACCGATAGAACGGTTTTTTTTTTAATATTTTTATTTTTCTTAAAGCTCAGACAGTTCGTCGAGGAGAGCGTGAGGCTATGCCGGCCGTCAGATGTATACGTCTGCGATGGATCCGAAGCCGAGAACTCTATGCTCATCGATCGGCTGCTGGAAAATCGGACGATCGTTGCACTGCCCAAATACAAGAACTGGTAATGATCACGTTCATTCTCGCTACGAGCAATAGCCAAATGTATTTAACAACGTGCAGCTCGCTTCACATTTCACCGATGAGAAAACATTTTCATTTTCGGAAAATTCCTATTTCTAGTCCCGAGTCCGTCTTTAGCACGAGTAGTTCTACTATTTTTAGTCACCAGCATCTAATTTGACTTTTTAGGATTCGTAAACTTTTATGCGTTCATCGAACATTGCATCAATGTTTCAATGATTCAAATCCACATCTACTGTTATAATATTTAAAACGTAGAACACTCGAAATAATTTTTTGTATTAATATCTAGCTCGACTGCGTCGCAGTCAATTTATTACGAAGATTCGAATAGTTTTTTTTTTTTTTTTTTTTAAATTATGTTTGACTTATTGCGACTCGAATCCGTGCATAATTACCATATCACGCGTTCTACTCACCGCCGTACTGATCATGTATTCTCGGCCTTGAACGACGAGCATTTTTCGTTTACCCGCGATGACGTAGATATAGCAAAAACATACGGTTATAACAATAATAATAATAATTATATCAATAATAACAAGAATAGCTAGAAAACGTGTGTCGTCGCGTGCAAAGCGCACGTATTTACCAAGTTGTGCTGTGACCAGGTGCAATTGTGAAAGGTGGGGACGCGCAAGAGGGTCTTTAGCATCCCTATGTTTTTTTAGGTCAATCTTTAACAATTGCATTGAAATACCATCAATTTAATATTCAACAATTTCAGCACCGCCAATATTTGGGCTCTAATTACGCATATGGCTGCGACTGATATTTTCTCCTCTAATTAACACTTTCCCCTCCTCGAACCGTCTTACATAATGGTTCACGCACGTATTATACGTTATACCTCACGGTGTTATTCGCATCGTTTTGTCACCGAGGTCGACGGTCAAAATTCATCTTCCTTGTAACATAAATCTCGTCCGTTTCCTCAGCACTTCATGTTAAAGTTCATATAATAACACTGCAGCGAACAAGTCGGAAACAACCATTAACGTCCGCCGAACGATTTTATGAATTTGTTCAACGTTCGTAATCAATAGGGATCGGATTTATATGTAAATACATATTTTTATTAAAACGAGATATTTAAAATTTGATAAGAAATGTTCATGATTTAAATCATTCCTATTAATATGATGCTACTTTTATTTTACATATTTTTACATATTTTGGTATAATTACATATTTTTACATATTTCACTAATTTGTAAATATTTTTAAACATATTTTATTATTTCATCATTCATACGTCTTCTTCGTACAAAAATACAAAAAATTATTTCAAATTTAGATCCAGAACTTTTATCGCTATTAGAAAAGCTCAAAATATTATGCAAAATGAAACATTGAAAACAAATTTAATTTTCATCTTAATGAATTTTA